TTGAATAAAGATAAATATTATTTTTGATTTAATTGTTAAATTATTAATAAATTTTATTAGATAGTTAGTATTTTAGAGACAATTAGTTAAAGTTTTTTCTCTTAAAATATTTTTTTAAGAATATTTACTCAAAATTTTGAAAGGTTGTTTCTAAATTTAATCAATCGTCTAATTGGGTAAGTAATGCAACACCTCTCTTAATCCAGTGGCTTTCAGATTTATCTGTTGGCATTCTTATATACATAACGAAGTTAGTTGAGTGACCTGTTGTTGATAGAACACCTCTACGTGCAGTTGTTTTATAGACAGGACAGTTATAGTTTTTGTATTAAGACAATTCTGAAGTTTTCTTTGGCTTTAGTAAAATTGTTGGGCATTTGACAAACAAAACCTTTTTATTTTTTCAATTTTTTTTAATTAAAAATCATATTTTTTAAAATTTATTACTTTTGGGTCTGATTCGTCCAACTTCATAGTGTTCATATTCCATTTTGAGCCTTCGATAAAGAGACCGTGAACATAAGCACCATCTTCTGGCTTTGCAGTTACTGGAGTGTTGATAAACTATTTTTTAAATTTATATTTCAATAAATAACATTCAAGATAAAGCAAAAGTTTACTTCAAAGTCAAATTCAATTATATCAATTGGAATAATTTTCTTTCTTGCGTAGTTTTGTAAAACACCAGTAAGGAAACTCTATGTGAAGTAGAAACCAGAGAGCCAAAATTCATTTGGACTGGTTTGAGAGTCAATCCAATTTTAGAAGAAGTGTAATCTTTATTTCAGATCTGCAACGTAACCACCTAGTGGCTTTAGTGAAGGATAACTTGCTTGCATCCAAAGATCAGGAACTTTACCATCAAACAAACTCTTTGAAGCAGCTTCAAGTTGAATAGACATCAATAACTCACCCTTAAGAGCTTTTTAGATATCAACTAAGCTGGATTGAACAACCTTTTGAAATAATAAGGAAATATTTTTAGAATTAAATTATTTAATAAATAAATAATTAGTCGTTTATATTTTCTAATTACCTTGATCAACTTGTTAAAACGAGTAAGTTCTTAAGTAAGTACAGTGTTCATACTTTCATTCTTTACGACTGGGAATACCTTTTGTACTTCTGGTATGTTGAATTGTTGAGGGAAATCGGTTAAGATATTTTAACATACCTACTTCAAAGTGTCTTCTACACTTTCACCTCCACTACCACCTTTTTTATTTAATTTATAAAAATTTTATTAAAACTATATAAGAAATTATATTATTTTAATAGAAAGCTATTGCTTTTGAATAATTAATTACCTCCGTGAGAGGAGCAAATTAAAAGAGAGTCATTTAAGAGATTTGTTTCGTTCATATCTTTAGTAATATCTGCATTAAGATGGAAACCAAATACTTCAGGAGGAGCAATTAAAGGTAGCTTAGTCTTAATGTGATTTATAAAATCTTCATGGGTCTCACAATGTGGTGCTCTATATTCAAGGCCTGGAGCAAATTGATAATTAGGATTATCAACGGTTTCTTGGTTGTAGTAATCAAGCAAAAGAGTTTTAATTAGTCTTCTATCTTTATCATCTGTGACTCTACCACCATAGTTACATTCTGCTGCTAAATAATTGAGTGCATCGAATGGGAAAACTCCAGTTGATTCATCAAGGAACATTTTTAATTGTCTGACACAAATACGCAAGTCTGATTCATTGAATTCATAAGAAATGTTCCAACCAAGAGCGCCATACTTTCTTCTTTCTTAAATAACAGCATGGAAGAAGCATAAACCATAAAGTAATTTCTTGAATGCCTGTTAAAATTAATTAATTTGTTTGTTTATTTATTTATTTATTTATTAATTAATATTTTATTTAAAAATGTTACCATAGGATTATTGCATCCGTCAAAGAATTCTGGCTTGATAATAGGATCAATTAAATATGAACCAAGCATGTTGCTTCTAAGACCCTTAGGAGGTTCATTAGTCATTTTAATACCAGCTTAAAGAACACTAGTAGGGAAATTTGGAGATGGATAAGAAGTCAACCATAATCTAAATTCAGGATTCATTTCTGGATTATTGTTGAAGCCTTCGCATATTTTTTCTAAAGTTGTCATCCAAGTTACAGCGAGATGGCAATTTTGTAGGACAACCCAATTACCTGTGATTTGTCCTTCGAATATCATTTTTTAAGCAGCTGGACCTTAGCCTTAACCTAAAGAGATTGAATTGATTTCCTTTTTCATCTTTTGTGAGAATGCATTCAAACTAGCAAAAGGATCTGAACCAGGAGAAAGAACGAAAATCAATGGAGTAATGGCTGAAGAATCCTTATAAATTAAACCCAGGTCAAAAGGAGGAGGTTCAATAAACTTCTATCCCAACTTATTTGAGATGAAATTTTAAACAGCTGGAATAATCTTATCAGGACGAATAGTACGCAAAATCATAAGTTTATGGAATTCATCGAACTTAGAGTCTAATTCAGCAGGTAAAGGAACAGTTTGAGGACTGCTGCTATCGAAAATTTTCTTAAAATGAGCCTATTTGTATTAATTTTAGAATAAATGTAATTTTTATTTAATAGATAATTAATTATTAAAATTTTTACAAGCTTTTCAGGAGCATAGAAGTTTTTATAGAAGTTATCGAAATGCTTGAGAGCACTGAGTCTCACAATTTCTGCCCAAGATTTTGCAGAAATCCAAGCAGCATCTTGAGGTTGAGGAGGTAGATTTTCGTCAAGAGAAATACCACCAGTCATGAAGAATCTCCAGTGTTCGTTGTCAAGTTCGTGTCTAAACTCCATTAAACGAGAAGCAAGTAGCATAGAGAATACAAGTTTATCCTTTTCAAAAAGTGATCTACAAATATTAGAATAAAGAGAATACAAGAAGTAATTCTTTAAGTTTTCAAGTCTTTGAGTAAAGACATCACTTAGTTCAGCTTAAGAAATACCCTATGTAAATAGATCAATATAGTAAGCTAAAGAATATTGATACATAGGATCGATGTTGCCCAAGTCTGAAATACAGAAGAACAAACTACTTGCTTGCTAAGAAACATCCTAATAAGTTTCTCTTGCATTGTCAATTTCTTTTTCTGTTGCTTCTGAAATTTCTTGCTTTTCTTTGATTTCATTTGAAGTATTCTATTTATTTTATTTAAAAAGTTATTTTTCATGATTCAAAATATCTAATAAGATGAATATAAAAAGAAAAGAATATCAATTACCTTTGAAGCAGTGAGAATATTAATAGCAGTTTCATCTGTAAGAATGTTTTTATTTCCTTATAAAACTTACAAAATCTTATCTTCGATTTCTGCCAATTACTTTTTATTGCTAGCACTTTCAATAATTAATCTTTCTTTTTCTTTTTCCAAATCAGGGCGCTCCTTCTTAACTAAAATACCAAGCAATTAATCATTCAAACCTTCATAAGTAATCATAAAGTTCAAAATTGTAACCTTTGTTGACAACTCAGGTAAATAGTGAGGATTACGCAATTTAGTTGTAATATAGAATCTGTTAGTATTTAAAAATAAATTTAATTCATTTATTTAAATTAAAAATAAAAAAATGGTATTTCAAAAAATATTTTTGATTGTAGAAAAATATTCATTTTTTTAAATGATAATAAATTTTTATCAGAAATAAAATGATTCTTCAATTTATAAGAAAAAAAAATCCTCAAAAATTTTATAAGAAATAAAATAAGCAATTGAATTTTTTTGAAAAGAAAATCTTTAAAAATTCAAAAAAGAAATAAAATAATTCTTTATAAATAATTAAATTTATTTGAAATAATATCTTTAAAAATTTAGCTTTTAAATATTCCAAAATTATTAAAATAATACCTAAAGTCTAAGGAATATTCAATTACGGCCTCACCAAGCTTGATATAGGTTGAAGGACCTTTTTAGAATGTTTGCTTCAATAAGATTGGAGTCAAAGATGGGTCTAAATCTTCAGGCACATTTTCAAGAAGAACTGGTCTACCGAATTGAATAGCATTTTCGAGAGTACGGAGATAGTCATTATCAGTTAACTTAATAACTTACAATTTTCTTGATTCTTCCATTTTTTTGATCCATTTATTGGCTTGATTTTGAGGATCTATACATAAGGGCCATCTTCTTGATCTAAAGATAATAATAGCGTTTTCTACACTGAAGCTATCAGAAGGTAAACCTTCAATATTCCACTATCTGATCTTTACAGGGTCTCCTAAAATCTTTGGTAAATTGAATTTCTCACTACCTAAGATCTCCATTTCTTTACATTTATGAACCCAGTCTTATGAAATTTCTTTTCTGTAAGTAGGTGTAAAAGCTCCAAGATAAGCAATAATACCTGATGAAACAAGAATATCACCTGTTAATGATTCATACTGTTGCTTTAGCTCTTCAGCTAAGTTACCCCAACGATCTTTTTCACCTCCTAGGTTACCAATCAAAATCTTAGCACGTTCAAGTTATTGTGAGCACTCCTCATAGTCTTTTTCAAGTTTCTCTTTGTTCTTCTTTGTTATCATTAAATCCTTGTTTAACGCATCGACTTTATCCATAGCAGCCTTCAATTCAGCTTGTTTAATTCTTAATTAACTTTCCAAGCCAGACACTTCTGCTTGAGCCTTAGCCAATTCAATTTTTTTAGGCTTGACTTTCTTATTGACATAGTAATAATCATGCATAGCATGAACCCAAGCTAACATACTACCACAAGCTTCATAAGCTTTTTCTACTACATTCTTTTCTAAGAAAGGTTTAGCTTCTGCATCATTGAAATAAGCTCCGAGTTATTGAATAACTTTTTCTGGGATATTTTCTTTATCAAAGCCTTGCATATCTTGTAATAATCTTGGGTTACCTAACAGTTTAACACTAGCAGCCCACCAATCAACAACAGTCTTGAGTCCTTCCTTCTTCTTTTCTGAAGGATTAGGATACATAACTAAGCAGACAGCCTTAATATTATTTGAGAAAAAAAGAAATTAAAATCTTATTTAATTAATAACTAATTTATAATAAAATACCTTCATAGTTGCTTTGATAGGTTCAGCAGGCTACTTCATAGTTTTAAGATTATCAATTTGAGGTTTGGTAATAACGTTAAGTGCTTCTTCAGCAGCTTATAATGCAGGAAGAGCTTCGTTAAGATCTTTTTCACATTCTTCCTTGATAGCATTAGCCTTGTCTACTGCAAGCTAGACTGTAGCTTCTTCCATTTTAATACCTTCAGCCAACTTATCTGCAACAGCTTTTTCTTTAGCGACTGCCTCCATTTTTTATTTTGTATCTTCTGCAGCTTATTTTAGTTTAGGAACCATTTCTTTTAACTAAATTTGCATCTAACCAACAGCTTATTCAGTTGTAATAATTTAATTATAACCATTTTTATATTTGTGAATATTTGATTGAACTTATTTTCTCTTTTCATCTAGCAAGGTCTAGAATGTAATAATCATTTCCAAGTAAGAAGTAGGTGTGACATAATACTTTCTTCTTAAATTCAAGAAGAACTTGTTAGCCCAAGTAGCTGTAGACTAATGATAATATTGCACCATTTCCTTTAAATTTTTAAAAGTAAAATTAAATTTTCATAAATAATAATAAATAAATAAATTATTTATTTAAAATTTGTTAATTAAAATGAATTATAAAGTAAATTAGAAATTTATTACTGTGCATTTGTCACGAGTTTTTTCATCCATTTCAATTTTTTTCATGAATTTCTTAGCGACAGAAACAAGAGCGTCTTAAGGCCACTCGAAGAACCAATCAATAGTGCAACAATTAACTAATGAAGGGAACATTCTGACTCTAGTTCTGAAAGCATCACCTATAGGACTAAAGCAAAGTACTATATGAAGATTGTTTTTGCATCTTTCTACAAAATATGCATAGAGCTGATCGGGAGTACCTTCAGAAGCTTTACCTTCACTTCTGGCATCGGATCTAACTAATTCCATGATTTCTGCCTTGTCTTCAGGTGCAAACAAATTAGGAACTTCGCAGGTATTCAAGAGGTTGTTAATATCTTCAACAAAACCTTCTTACTTAATTTAACTATCTGTGAATAAGAAAACTGTTTATTATCCTTTTCCACCAGCACTCTTTAAGATCTTTTTTAAATCTTCACGCCATTCTACTTTGCCATATTGCTTACTGATTTCAATTTAAATAGTAACAAAATCATTCAAATGAGAAGCCAAACGGGTTAGTGACTGTCTACCTGAACCACCAACACCAACAAGCAAAGCATTACCGCCAGGTTGCATAATAATACGCTAAATGATAAGCAAGTGTTCAACAGCAAACTAGAAAAGCACTAAATCCATAGGTTTGTCTGAAACCATATTATATTGAGAAAGAGATTCTTCACAAGCCTCGGTTAATTTATTCATTTCAAACACTTCTTCATAAGGTTTTTTAGGAGCTCCCAAAGGAGTTAAAATATTAGTGAAAATCAAACCTCTAATTTCATCTAAAGTGTCTACTTTCTTATCGCCATTAGTATCTAAATGCTTTTATTCATCAATTTTAATTTAATTTTATTAAACTTTTTTAGTATTATTTTACTTCAAAAATTGTGTCAAAGTTCAAGTTAAAGATTCTTCTTGTGATATCACGGATCTTGCTAAGCATTAAAGATCTATCTGCTTCATCTACAAGTCTATCACTAAATACTCTGAGAGTTTCATGCACCCAGAGACGTACAATTTATTCTTATTTTACAGTTAAGTCTCTATCAGCTAAGCAGATACCCATAACGACCTTTGAGATATCTCTCAAGTTGAACAAGTAATGAGATTTTGTGGGAGTAGGTCTCATAAATTCAGTAGCGACTTTGTATGTTTCTTGTGTAGCTTGAACCAATCTACCTTCAAGTTTCTTGATATCTTCATTGAATTATTGAGTAGAGAAGTACCATTAAAGAATTGTTTAGAAAATCCTGATTAAACAAAAAAAATTAATTTATTTTATATTAAAATAAATTTTACTTTTTCAAAGAAGATTCATCAAACTCAGCTAAAGAGATCAAGTTAAGATGACGAAGCATACGAGGAGTAATGAAGGTTCTACCACCACCTGGAGGACCCATAGCTGCTACAAAAATGATATCAACAAGCTATTTAAATGGTTTGTCATCCTTCATGTCATACCATCCACCGCAGTCGAGCATTTAACGTAAAATTTCAACAGGAGGCTAAGCACCCCATTTTTCTTTTGTTGGCATATTCAAATCATCAACAAATATAATAGCCTTTTCAGCAATCTTTGGGCCATAAACACCCTTTCTCTTTCTATCAAGTCTGCTATCAACAATGTCCATAGTTTAGGTAGCACTTGTTTATGCAGAAAATCCAATTTCAATGGTCATGTATTTCTTTTGATCAAGCTTTTACATTAGCAAGTTTTTAATGTAAACTGATTTACCAGTACCTGTTGGGCCACAGAAAAGAGTGGGAACGCAATTCTTGATGTTGTGTTCTAATAAAAATGAGTATCTAACTGTATCTTAAGTAGGTACTATAATAGTTTATGGCTTAGCTTTAGCAGGGATGTCAATATTTTCAATTAAGTCAACCCATTTAACCCATTCAATACCTTCGCTCTAATTATTTAAAAAATATTTTTTGAGAATTAGATTTTTTTTAAAATGAGAAAACTCTCAATAATAAATAAATTTGATAAATTTAAATTATATTTATTGTTTTTACCTTAGCTTCTTTGTAGCGTAAATTATATTCGTAAATTTATCCGTTATCAGGAACTGTGATTTTCTTAATATCAAGATTAGCAGGAATATCAGGATCCTATATTTCTTTGTTAAGAAGTCTTGCAACGAAAACGTTGAATTATTTTCTATCATCACCAGTTAAAGAGCCACCAATAGACCAGTAGAGAGAGAATATGAATCTGAACTAAATCATGGATTATTTATTTTTGAATTCAATGCTATCATAATAATCTTAGTCTTCCAAATCCTTGAGCAAACCTAGTTTTTATTAATTTTAAGAATCCAAATTTAAAAATGAAATAAAATAAATACCTCTATATATTCTCATTAAGGATACAACTAAATTTTAGTCTTGTGTTGGAGATATTTCATGGCATTTCTTTCTAATAAACTTCAAAGTAGGATTAATTATCCATCTAAACAAAGTGTCAATTTCATCGAGGTCTTCTTATTTGAATGTTTTAGGTAAAGTAGAAGCCCAACTATGATAAAGTGGCTCCCATCCCATGTATTGAGGTTCCATATAAATCATACCACATCTGGAAACAGTAGCTGGAGAAGCAGCAGCCAAATCCATAGGTTCAAAAATCATGTTCATTGAATTAGACATGGCAATAATTTCACCAGAATTTAAACACAATTTTTTATTATCGTCGAGCACGGTGTTCATGTTTTCAATCCAAACTGCATCAACAGGACCATCAAAAATAAGCCACTTTGAATTAAAATAAAAAATATTACTAAAAAAGAAGGAATTTCTTATAATATTAATAAGACTAAAATATTATTTTAAATAAATAAATAAATGAATATATTACTTTTCTATCAAGATTTTCTTACTTAGCAAAAGCTCTAAACTTAACGGCTAAGACACCGTCAGTCCATTCATGAGAAACTTCATCAGAATAACCATAAAGCTAGTTCATAGTAATAGATTTAGGATTCAAAGTGGTGATTTGAACTTTATTTTCTTCCATTTATCCTCTTTCATTTAAAAGAGTTAAAGCATCAGCTAAGACATGAAGTGCTGATGTTTTTCCAGAGAAAGGCATACCGACAACCATGAGGCCGTGACGAACAAGAATCATTTCATAAAGTTAGATAATTTTCTCAACAAAGTAGTCAACCTTTTGGAGTTATCTTGTTTATAAAGCAGAATCAATACACTCAAACATATTTCTGTAATCTATTTCAGGCAATTTTACTCCAGGGAAGAGATCTTCAGTAATACCATCGAACAAGACTAGATCATACTTTAAGAATTTAGCTACGTTAACATCTTTGATAGCTCTTAACATAAGAATACTTTCGTCTTCTCTAATATACTTTCTTTTCAAGTTACCAGCTGCTGTAAGTACTGACTTTACTGCTCTCATACCTGAAAAAAAAAAAATTTAAATAATTGAATTATCTAGTGAAAAATAATAAAAAATTACCATAATCGTAGTGATCTTATGAAGAAAGTTACTCGGAACAGAGCTTGTAAGTGGTTACAATTTTTCTTGCAAGATTTCTAGCGTCAGAAAAACCATACGAATATAAACAAATTTCAGCAATCATTGCATAATCTGGAACCATCATCGCTACTGATCTAAAAAGAGCCTTGAGGTTATCAGGCAATTCTGAACGACCTGCGTAACCAGGATTCATTGTAATAAAACAGTTGCAAGTAGGCTTAAGAGGAATAACAGAGCCATAGAATTCAAATTCTTTCTTTCCTTCAGTACGGGCAATTTGAATTGATAAAATTTATTAAGCAACGACAGAAAGCACTTCCAAATCAATACGATTGAACTCATCAAAACAACTCCAAGCACCACTTGAAGCCAAACCTTTGAAGAATTTTTCCATAGCCTTGTAATCTAAACCATCAGAACAGTTAAAGACGACACATTAACGAGCAAGAGCCTTGGCTAAATCCTTAACAGTTTCAGTTTTACCAGTTCCTAAATTATTTATTTAAAATTTAATTAAAAAAATCATAGGATAAAAATAAAAATTGTAATTACCTGCAGGTCCTTCTGGAGCACCACCATAATTAAGATGAACAGCACCACAAAGTGTTCTGTAACATCTATCAGTAAGAGGAGTTATGACCAATCTGGTTGAGTTACCAAGATATTCATAGTTATATTCACAAACTGCATTAATAATTTTAACAGTTGTGTTGTTGTTAATCCAATAATAACGAAGTTGACTCTACCATTCAAAATCGTTAACATTAGAGATATTCTTTTCTACTAATTTTGCAACACTATCTCTGTTATGTACATCAAGCACAATTAAAGCTTCAATAGTGCATCTATCCAACTTGTTGATATTAGAACGAACTAATTCTACAATTTATTCAAGCTTTTTTATATTTCAATTTAGTTAAATTAAATTTATCACAAAATAATTTTAATTATTATTAAACTTATATTATTTATGCTCATTCGTGAAGGTATTTTCAAATTTAACATAATTAGTTTAAAAAGCTAATTATATTCAAATATCCATTCTAAAAACATCATCGCATTTATAAATTAATTAAAAATTTTGAGCAATCTTTTTTGCATTTCTCCTACAAATGTATTCTAAACTAAAATAACTTTTATAAAAAATTTATTACCTATTCGTTACAAGTGTTGGAATACTTTTAAGCACCTTTTGTGCCCTCCTCTTGCAAAGCTTTTTCAGTGAAGTGAGTCCAATAGGTCATGTTTACGCAAAGGACAGCCATACCGCATCTCTACAGAACCCAATCTTTTCTTGCAATTTTTTAGTACTCATCAAAAGACTAAAAAATAAAAAGTTTTAATCAAATGCTTTTTATGAAATTAAGTTTTTGATAATTTTACTTGTTAAGTGACTTTATGAACAGCTTAAACCATCTAGTCTTCTACCCAGACTAACCATTGATCAACATTACCATTAGCTATTTCAGTATCAATGACTGTGATGAAAGGAACATATTCACCTTCGCTTGAGAACATACCTTTTTATCAAATAAAAAATCATTAATTTTATAAACTTGAAAACTAAAATAAATAAATTACCATAGATCTTATGAGTGTTATCGAATTTGAGCTTTTAAATACCTTCAAAGCACTTCTTAAGATGGGGTTAAACTCTAGTTGGGTCTTTAGTTTCAGAAAGAATTTCAAGCAACTCATCATTTGATAAGAAATAAAATCTTGGGAAGCTCTGTCTCTTTTGATCCAAGTACTCATTAAGACCCTTAGAAACTAATTCTAACTTCAAATGGGATTCTTTCATAATTTCGAGCATTCTTCTATCCTTAGTGAACTCTATTACTTTTAAATTTTTAGATACCTTACCCATGATACTATTTTTCCAATCAGAATCAACCTTATTTGTTATAAAATTTTTTATTTAGCAAAAGTAAAAATAAAATAAAATTTACTTTTTAGAATTAAACTGCATCTTGAGGGAGAGATTTTGAAATATCAGGAGAAGTAAAAATGGGTTCAAGATAAAGCCAGACACTTTGAACTTTAACCCAATATTCAAATAATTATTGAGTATAATTTAACCAGTCTTCCCATTCCATAATTTACTCTTCAAATTCCTTAGCATAAGGAGAACCCTTCATGGTTAGAGTTTTTACAATTTGATCATCTAAAATTTAGACTATTTCATCAACGCAAGTACCACTTATAACAAATGTACCAGTTTCTTTCCATGGCTTGAGTTCTGCATTAATTTCACTCCAATCCTAAAATTAATTAATTAAGTAATAAATTAATATGTGAAAATAAAATAAATTGTAAGCAAATTAAATAAAAAAATAGAAATTAAAGAAAAATTCCACAATTTTTAAAGAATTTATTTTACATCTTTCATCTTTTGAAGAATCTTTTCAATACCATATTCTTTAGAAGCTTTATCAGAGATATCTTCTAATTTATCATAATCTTCTTTGCTGAGTTCCATCTTAATAATACGATTTAATGTTTCAGATTTTTCAGGGTTGATTGGGAACTTAACAATTTCACTAATATCTTTCCAATGTCTATCTTTTAAACCCTTGTTAGAGAAGACTCTTGCTAAAGGCATATGCTGTTAGAACTCTTGAAGGGTAGAATATTATTCTTCAGCTAACTTAAGAGGCTTATCAAGTTTTCTTTGCTTAAAAATGATCTTCAGCTTTTAACTAGTCATTTGCATACCTTTCATTTCCTTTTCAATCAACTCAGGATCAAGAGTGAAACAAGATCTATTTTTGAAAAAAGTTATTATAATTTTGAAAAGATTGAATTAATTCTTACTGTATTTATTGCCAGTTTTTAAGTTTTGTTGCCCTATCTCTAATTAAATACCAGAGATCTTGGAAGGGAGTTAAATTATTTTTAGCAGCAATTAAATCAGGGAATTCTGTTTGAGTGTATCCAAGCAATTCTTCTTTTTGGTTGATATCAGTCATTTCTTCAAGTAATTAATTCAAAGTAGTAGTATATTACTCAACTGCCTTAAGAGCATCTTCAGTTTGAATATCAACGGTGTATGAATTAGCCAAAGAATCTATTCCAATACATAATTGCTTAGTGTCAGTTTCAAGGTCATTTCTTCTCTTTCTTATTTTTCCTTCGATTTCATCTCTTTCCTTTAAAATAAATAGATTAAAATTTAATTAAAAAAAATGAATTCATAACAAGAAATAATAAAAATCTGCTAAGATAAACCATTATTAAAAAAATACCTTGAATAATCTTTCTTCTTCTGTGTTGACAACATCCATAAACTAGTGAACGTAATGAGCTGTGCTTGCTATGACTTTGAGATCATCAATAGTAAGTCTGTAATGAGTATTATTAATGAGAAGTTGCAGCCACTTTCTTAAATCAGTGAATTCATGTTAGACTCTCTTGGAATCAATTTTTTTAATGTTTTCAATCATTTTTTCTAAATCTACTAGCTTTTCAGTAGTGTCTGCCTTAACTTTAATGTAGTCTTGCATACTTTAAATATCTTTTTAGATAGCATCACTGCGGTTCATAATATAAGTATATGTATATGACTATAAGACTACAAGAATTTCATCACAAATGTATAAAAATGACTTTTTAATTTCACATCCGTCAACTAAGATCATGTTCATTCTAACATAAGAAGGAACTTATTTCATAATATCTTGAATAACTGTTTTGTATTTTGTTACATTTAAATTAATTTCTTCTCTAGTTCTAACTCCAGTTCCTAAATATCTCTCTACCTTAATCTTTTCTTCTAATAAATAAGCATATTTCTCATAAATCAAGAGGACTGAATCTATATTTTCTAAATTTCTATCTAAAACGTCATTGACATATTGCTTAACTTTCACATAGGTCTAAAAAAAACATTTTTTAATTAAAAATTTAAATAAAATTTATTTTTACTTCATCTGAAAGTGGGATATCACAAAGGGTAACACTTTCATTTCTAGTAATAGCATTTTCAGGACGAGAGAATCCTTGAGTTGTTTTAACAATATCATCAATCATCTTAATTAAATCCTTTTTAATAGTTTCGTAAAGATTATCTTAGAAAATAATGTGGTTATCTTCGTCTGCAAGTTTAATATGCAAGAAAACATCTTCAATTGGTAATCTGCAATCTTAGTCTCTTTCAATAATCTCTTGGGGGGTAGGTAAAACTTACTTATCGAATCTTCCAAAGAACTCTTTGTAGAGAATTAATGAGTCAGTGACTAATTATCTGATTTGATTTGACATCAAAGTAGCAGAAGAATCGAAGAATATTTAGGCCAATCTTTTATCTTTATTCATCTAATTTAGCTCCTCTTCATAAATTTCTTTTACATCATTAAGCCATTCAGATCCCAAGTGGTTCTTAACATCAGTAATGTGCTTAGTCTTTAAAATATTTGAAAGAAAGTAAGATTTTGAAATATTTTATTAAACAAAATAATAATTTACTTGAATTTGAATGAAATTCTAAATATTCATAGTTTGGTCTTTTTTGCTTGGAAGGACAAAGAAGTGCATTCTTTCATATTTCCTCCACAGCTCCATAAGCTTTAAGGTAGCCTTTGAGTTGATAACTAAATTTTATTTAATGAACTCAGTGCTATGAGCTTTACTTGATCTCCAGTCATCATCTGGCTCTAATCCTCTATAAATATTATCACCATACTCAACCACGGGATCAAAAATCTGCATAATACCTACTCTCAATTTTTCGTCTTCGTCTTTAAGAACATAGTCCAAGATAGATTTTTTGACAGATTCGAAGTAATAAATAACAATTTCTTTAAGCATTTCATTTTTCATGAAATTTACTTTGCTAATAAAAAATATAAAAATTTTTTATTTATATTTATTTTATTTTTATATAATTTTACTCAATATCGACATAATTAAGAGAAGCAGGGATTAAATTTAGAATATCCTTCAACCAGTAATTGTTGATGTTTGCAATAAATTCCTAAGGAATATGCTCTTAAATGTATTCGTTGTATCTTTAATAGCAATTTCTCTTTGCAATCATTTTTCTTTCTAACTCTTCACTAATTTCTACCCTTCTTAATACATAATCAAGTTCTTCTTCTAAATCTGCAGTTTCTTATAAAAGCTCTTAATTTGCAGTAAAATTGACACTGCTATCTTTTAAATACAAAACTTTAATGCCTTTTGTTTAGCTGTCAAAGTATAATCTTCTAGCTGAAGGAGTATAATTTGACCCAATTCTGGCACTGATTGATAAGTTAAACTTCTATGAAGCCAAAGGAGCTGCTAGAGTTCTTGAAAATTTATCTAAAATTGGAGGGTATCTAATCTATGCATTTGGAGGTTTTATAAATGTAGAATATATCAAATTAGAAGCTTCATTAGCTAATTTAGAAAATTCCTTTATTTAATTAAAAACAATCAATTATAAAAAATAAATTCTCATAAATAAAATTAATATTTTAAATTAAAAATATTAAAAAATATTTTTATTCATTTCATTTTAGTAAAACTTGTCTTAAATGTTTTAATAAATTATTTTAATATTTAAAAAGACTGTTTTTAATTGATTTAATAAATTTTTATTACCTGTTCCTTTGCAAGAGGATCTGTGCCTGCAGAGAGCAATTCATCATTTATTTATATATGTTATTATTTATAACGTCTTGTGGGAGATGATTCGAATTTATTTGATGAATTAAATTTTTATAAATTTTGTGATTAGACATTTACTCTTTTTTTATTTAAAAGGAATTTATTTGATTTTTAAAATTATTTTTTTTAAATTACTTGATTTTTCTTTTTGTTCCAAGGAAGTTAGTTGTGCTAGGCTTGAGATTATCGTCTAAAGCAACAGTAGACAAGCCTAAGTTTTAATGACTTTTTATTTCTCCTTTATTAATGAACAAAGGTATTTATTATAAATTAGTGTTGGAAAGATATTATTGGTGACCAAGGTTGGTAGCACTGCCAAACATGTTACCAGTTTTAATTTCATTTTCGGAAACTTAAGGAAGCTCGTGATGAGAGCCCATAACTTTTTATTGCCTTGATGGAGGCTTAATTTGGCTTTATTCTATATTTGATTAATCTCCAAACTGGAGAAGATTGGCATAATTTAATTTATTTAAGTTAGCCATAGATCTTGATAGACCCTTCCTTTAGTCTAGCAATTCACGAACAGTAGAGCGCTGTTTGACTTCTCTCTTTTTATGCATGCTATAAGGCTCAAAACTTACTGTTTTTTCAAAGCTATTTATTTTACCAAAAACTCCTAAATCGATTTCTACACTTGAGTGTTGTACCATTACCTATTAAAATAAATGGATTTAATTAATAAATTAAGATAAACGATTTATTCTGTTAGCTTGAAACAAATAAAAAATAGCTTCAGTGAAAATTTTTTAATATGATTATAAAAAAAGCAATGCTAGCTTTAATTTATTCCTTAAATAATTACTGAAAGTAGTTTATTATTAATAACAAACGAATAGCGGGTTTTGAACTTGGGAATTTCAAAACTAAAAAAATATTTTAGAAATTGAACGTTTTTAGTCTTTGCTTGGTTAAAAAAATGGAAAAAATGACAAATATTTAGAAATAGATTTATAATAGTTGAGTAAAATGAGTTTATATCAAGTTATTGATTTAGATCTTAATAGAAAAAGAAAGCTTGTCGAATTATTTTTTGATTAGTATTAATTGGAAAAAAGATTTATTGATGATATTTGCCAAGCGAGGTATTTATTTAATTTTTAATTATTTAGAAATATTTAATTACTTCTTAAACGGTTTCAAATAGTGTTGTAAGAGCAGTTTTAATCGCATTTTGGTCTGTGTTAGGTAGACTCTTTTTTATAGCAGTAAAATTTATCTTTACAGGCGGATAAGAACTGTTGTCTACTTCACCCTATTAAATTATAATATACGAATCACTTAAATTGCACTTTGAATTTTAATAATTTTTAGGCTTAGGCATTTCTTCCCCTAAATCGAAGTTTTTCATATTTGCTTTTGGCCTATTTACTGAATATTATGCAATTGAAAAAGGAGGAAAAAAAATGAAAGCAGAAGATATGGAAGAATAGAATTACTCTGTACTTAAATCTGTTTCCATATATGAAAGCTTCATTCAATATTAACATCATCGCCTTTTCCTTTTCATCTATTTTCTTATATATTATGGTACCTTTTTTTACAAAAAAATATCATCGTGGGTCTATGTCTCCTTGCAAAAGCTTTGGCCTTAATATTTTCTTATTTTCCTTTGATTTTGCTTGCTTTTTCTTTTGCTAACAAAAAATATAAAACAAATATCAAAAATTTACCAAAATTGTTTAGAGATACAGTCCTCTCCATATCTAACTAAGATTTCGTCCACCTATTTGTTTGCAAAAGAAAAGTTTTTAGCTATTTCATAAACTCATCTCAAATATTCTTACTATGTGAATGAGCTCCAGATGTCGCTAAATATTTTCGAATTGACAAAAGCTCTTTCATTATCTTTTTCCTATAATCTGTTTTTAATACATAATTCATTAATGATACTTTTTTGATGGCACCAACAGGAGGAAAATAATCCCTCCCAAATTGAAATGCCGTGATGATATAAAAATGGCAGCTAATTTTATACTTAATTTAGCACACTTAGAATAGCTCCTCTAAAGAATAGTGCTAAATATTTAGATCCATCTCTTCTAATAATTGATTAATAAATATACTGACTATCGAAGAAATATGCCTCTATTCTTATTTATGATTTTTATTTAATTAAATTATATTAACTCTACAAATAAATCAATAATATCGCAAATCAATTAATCAATAATAAATCAGTCAGTCAGTCATGAAAGTCTTAGCTTTTTCATGTATTTTTAGAAGCAAGAAAGCAATCAAACAATTTTACATGCAAATAATTAGTATAGTAAAAACAACTAATAAGCTGTTTTCATTCACAAAATGCATTCAATTAAGAATAAATCATAAGATCATTAAAAAACTCAATATTCATTTTTAATATAAATATGCTTCTTTTAGTTAATTCAAGTCAGTCATTTATTAAATATCTATCTATGATCGCAATTTTAATAATTTATTTACACAAAAAATAAAGGCTAATACAAAATATCATAGATTTTATTTATTATCTACTTGAGTTATACCAATTTCTTAATATAGTTTTTTGTTTATTATCCTCTTATTTTATCTAATTATCCAAATTATCAGCTGTCTTTATATATTATTATTACCATTATTAAATTTTGATTTTAAATTCTTAAATTTTTTAATTTTGAGCATTTTTCTATATTCTTACTACTATAAAGTTGAACTTATATAAAAAGTTAAAGATTAAAAAAAAATGTTTTTGAATATTTTTTGTTCATAGTAAAAAATCGTATTCAATATTTTTTGAGTATTTAAAAATTATTATTTATTTATTTATGATTTATTTTAATATTTTTACCAATGAATTTTAAATAAATGATTTAAATAAAATATTCGTTTATTTTTAATTTAATAACTGAACTATATTTTAATATTTGAAAAATTTATTTTTAATAAAATATTTTTTTGAATTAAAGCTAATTTGAAAAAATTGCTTGTGCTTTGAGCATGAACTTAAAAGGTAAATTAATTTATGAATTTTGATGTAGTTAATCATTTTTGAATTAATCAGCTTTGCTATAGTTTTCAAATAAAGAGTTAAAATAAATAATCTAAAACAACAAAAACGTTAATCTTGTTTCTTATTTTAAACAAATTGCCTACTTTCAATCTTGAAAAATGCTTTTATTTTGATAAAATAAAAAAAGCAAATAATTTAAATACATTGCAATTAAAAAAACTATTATTTTTAAATGCAGTAATTTGTATTTTTTATTTTATTTTTGCTTCAGTTTCTTTTGAAAACTTCCATCTTTTGATAGGATATTTATTGAAATTCATATGAAAGTTTTTTGCTATAATTGTGGTTAAATTTTAAGATTATTGGGATTTAATTGATTTTATTTAAAAAAACTTTTACTCTCGCTATAAAAAAAGTATCAATAAAATTACTAATATGGGTAATTGTCTCCCTTCTCAAATAAAATATAAATGCAAGGAGTTGAACTAAAATGAAAAAGATATTTAACAATTCTTTGACATTTTAAAAAGCAAGAATTATATCGCTGAAATTCAGTTAGAAGGTAGTGGTTACGGAGTTACTTTTAAAGCTTAGTCAAAAACATCAAAAAAAGATGTAGCAGTTAAATGCATTAAAGAAGAGACTAGTGGAAAGCACTAGGAAATGAAGTAAAAATTAGACTCCGTTTCAAATATTAAGCAAAAAGACTAAATTGTGGACATTTTAGAAACTATTTAAGTTACAAAAAAGGAAAAAATCCACTTCATTGTAATGGAAATGTGTGAGGGTAAAAAAAAAAACTCTTTTTTAAAAAACTTAAAGCTTACTTAAAAAATATGAATAGGTAATTTAAGTAGCTTGATAAATGGACAAAGGAAATTAAAATAAAGCAATTCCTTAATCATATTAATCTAGCTGCTGTTGGGTCTGAGGGAGTTGGAAAAGCAAAAAATCGCACATGGCGGAATAAAGCCATCAAACATTCTATTTAATAGATCACCTTTGGGATATATCAAAATCAAAATTTGTATAAAAATTGCAAAAAATATCCTTAATTTAATAAAATAAGAATTTTTTATATTACAGCTGACATAGGAACAGCTACGGGTCCTAATGACTATGTAAGCTAAGAAAATCTAAACTAGGCCTCTATAAAAGTAATTAAAATACATCAAAAAATAAAATAGCATTATTGGAAATTACTAATAAAAGGGTGATGTTTATTCTCTTGGTCTCATTTTTCTTGAGCTGCTTTTGGGCAAGCAAATTACCAATTAGGAGAAAGCAGATTTGAGAAGAAAAAAAATTGATTAGTTCCTTTAATCAAATCATTTGGCTGATTAATTTTTAGAAAATTAGTTGATTAGAAAAATGATTGCTGAAGGTGATTAAAGAGAATCTATAGAGTAGTTGCTTCCTAAAGCCATTAAACTTTTCTATGAAAATACTACTATAAACCATGTGGAAAAACTGAAATGGATTCTGCAGTACAGTGATATGTAAAAATTAGAACTAAGAAATTATTAAATAGATTTAAGCATGCAGTTATAAATTAATTTATTTATCCAATATAATTGTCTGAAAGGGTAAATTGCGTTGGTGATGGAGACTCATAAAATGATTAAATGGATTTGGATAAGAGTTTGAATATAAATTCTTTAAAAATAGATCTTTCGTAATTTGTTAAATACATTATTAAAATTTGAATATTTCCTTTAGAAGAAAAAAATAATTGGTTTTATATGTAACTATTTGTATCAACTACTATTCATTTTTATTTTCTTCCTTGCTAGTCCTTGATCCTCAAAGATTGAATTGAATTTTTTATTAGATCGAATAAAGTTGGTGCAGAAGAAGCTAAGAGCATTGCGGCAGTAATTCAAAAGTGCAGAAATGTTACTAATTTGACTCTTATTCTTGAGTAAAAAATTAAATAAACTGATAAATTTTGATTTTGACCTTTTATATCTTCTTAATTATTTCTATCTCTAATTTTGATTAAAAACAGTTTTAAAACTCATATTTAAGCTTTGATTTTATTCATTTTTCGTTCAAATACAAATTAAACTTTTTTACTTAATAGAAGTAGCGAAATTGGGGTTGAAGCAGCCAAGTCTCTTGGGGTTGCCATTTAAAATTGTAAACAGTTGACCTCTTTAAATCTTAATCTCTCGTAATCGATGAAATAATTAATCTAATTCGCTTATATTTTCAATCAAAATTTAAATTAAATTTCCTAAAACTATTTGTCATTTTGATTTATCTTATTTGGATTTCATTTTGTTAGTTTCTAAAGCCATATTAAAAATAAACTAATTTTTTTTATTTTAAAGTTGCACTGGAATCGACAGCGAAGCAGTAAAAAGTGTTTGCCATGCTTTGGAAAACTGTAAAAATATGACATCTCTCAATCTTAATTTTGAGTATAAAAAATAAATTAAAAACCAAACTTGATATAAATAATAAAAATCACTTTTGTTCATATAAACAGCTTTAATATTTTATATTCATTATTTCTCACATTAAAAACAAGCATTATTAATTAATTTCCTTTTTTACAATTTATTATATATAAATTCATATTCCTACTTTAACTAAAAGAGGTCTTAAGCTACACCAGGATGGGGCACAAAGTATAGGAAAATCTTTTGAAAATTTAACGCATTTAAATTCTTTGGTTCTCCATATTTCGTAATTCACTTATCAATTTTATAATTTGATAAAATATTTTTAAAGCAGAATAATTAAATAGCTTTTTTGACAGTATTTATTATGTTAACTTTTAACTTAAATTTAATTCTCTTAAACTAAATATTATTTAAAGGCAAAGTTACATAGAAGCTGAAGGGGCACATAGCATCGGGTTAGCTATAGAAAAATCCAAAAATCTCACTTTTTTGGATCTTGACATCTCGTATTACAACAATTAAATTAATTATTATTCTCATCATCTTTTCTGCAACTCTTGCGCTTATTAATTAACGCATCAATATAAACTCATTTCTATTTGGATATTAATTTTTTTTATCATCTATGGATTGTGAATTATATACTTAAAAGGAACTTTTAAGCTAAATTCCCACCTCAATCTATTATAATAAAAAACACAAATATTCATAATTATTAAGTGTTATATTTTAAATAATTTTTATGTTTTAAGAGGTAACAAAATCGGCGCAGAAGGGGTAAAGAGCGTAGCGACATCTATTGAAAAATGCATAAATATATCTTCATTGTAACTCAATTTTAGGTATTACAAAAATTTAGATTATCAATCAATATTGGTTTATTTTTAAATAAATTCTGGCTAAAATTCAAAAATACTTAAAAATATTTTTTTGAAGATTTTAACTTCTAAGAATTGTTGCCATTTATCTTTCTATCTATCTATCAATCTATTTTATTATACTAACTTATCATTTTTATTTTTTACTGATTAATAACACAAAGTAAATAAATTGTTTCTAATTGTTTATTTACCTATTTATTATTTTAAAGAGAATGTAAAATTGGTGTTGAAAAGATGCAAAGTATTCGCACATTGATATAAAATTGCAAAAATGTTACTTCATTGAATCTTGACCTATCGTAATCACCAAAAATTTAATTGATGATATAATATTTACTTATTTTTAACAGAATTGCACATTCAATTTAATTTTTGCTTTTTAATGAGTTTCAAATTTTTAGATTTCCTTATGATTATTTGCTTAGAAAAGCCTTAATGCTAACTAAATTATATTATTTCAAAGGTAAAATGTTCTTGATTAAGAAACAGCAAAGATACTTGGTCTTGCACTATAATAAAATTCAAAAATGACCTCTTTAGCTCTTAAAATAAGGTATTTATTATTCCAATCAATCGACAAATTGAATTAACTACTTTTAGGTTAATTCAAAGCAAAATTTAGATTAATATTTTGTTGATTTTTTTATTGGTTCACTATTTATTTATTTCTACATTTTCTTGCTTTTTTAATCAAACATTGCATATATATATTTTAAAAATAAATTCAAAAGCAACACATTATTAGAGTTAGAGGCTGCTAAGATTCTTGCGACGGCTTTTTAAAACTGTACAAACATCACTTCCTTAAATCTTAACATTGCGTAATTTATTATTTTATTTAATGAATGGATTAGGCATAAAAGCAGCATTGAAAATTATATTCTTTTTATTTTAGTATAAGAAATTTAAATAGCTAATGTCAGCTAAATATGTTTTGCATTTTCTTATTAGTTAATTACTTACTTACTTACTTATTACTTTTAAATCTGAAAATTATTTGAAAAATTAAATAAATTTATTTTATAGGTGGAATAAAATTGACAATGAAGGGGTTAAGATTTTCGGATAAGCTTTATTTTAGAACACAAATTTCACATCGTTATCAATTAATTCTATGTAAATAATAAACAAGCAATTTCATTAAAACTTTTTATCAGCGAATGCTTAGTTAGATATTTTAGCTTTATTTTAATATATTGAAATAGCTAACTAATATCGCAGAAATTTGTTTTCAATTTTTTATTATCTGCTTTAAAACTCTTAAATTTCAAATTATATAAAACTAAATGATTCTATAGGCGAAATACAATTGGCGATGAAGGGATAAAAGTCATTGGAACGGGTTTATCAAAGTGCAAAAACTTAAATTCTTTATCTTTGGATTTCTCGTAAATCACTAAAAAAACTTTTAATTAAATTGCGAACATTTATTTATTTAGTTAGTTAGTTAGCAAAGCTTTGAATATATGAATGTTGGCTTCTATTGATATATTAATTCATTGATTCATTCATATATTTGCTTTGTTGGTTGCATTTTCTTTCATGCTAAATTTATATTTAAAAATGAACTTAATTGTTTTTTTATTATTTTAAAGAACAGGTGGTTTAGGCAATTAAGAGGCAAAGAGTCTTGGAATAGCTTTGCAAAATTGTATAAATCTCACTTCTTTGAATCTTCAACTAAGGTAAAAGCAAAAAAAAAAAAGATATTATAAATTTACTCCTATAAATATTCATTTTGATTTTAGAATTATTCTAACTAAATAAGAATTTACATTTATTTTTACATATTTAGATTTTTATTCTGATTATTAATTAACTAATTAATCATTTTTAAAATAATTAAATTTCACTTTAAAAGGCTCAATTCTATCCATGCTGAAGGAGTTGAGAGTATTGCAACAGCTATAGGAGAATGCAAGAACCTCACTTGTTTGTCACTTAATCTCTAGTAACTCTATTAATAAATAAATAAATCTATAAATTAAATAATTCACTCAAACCAATTCTATTTCCACTGAATGAAAACACTGCTCAAAATAAATCATATTAAATTATAGGGAAAATAAAATAGGAACAGAAGGTGCAAAAAAGCTTTGTATATTTACAGATAAGTGCCCAAAAATTACAACTTTCGTTCTTGGTCTTGAGTAATTTACCAAATATCAAAATAAAACTTATCAAATTTACGCATATCATCCTAAGCCTAAATTTATTTTCAAATTATCAAGAAATAATCAGATTTACGACGAAGGAGCGAAGGCTATCGGATTATCTTTAGAAAAATTAAAAGATTTAAGTTCTTTGACTCTTAATCTTTCGTAATACAATAAATTATTAATTAATATTTATCTTTATTAATTAAGGGTCTAATTTTTTTCTGATACAAAATTTATTTGAATAAGAAAGAGAGCTTTTTCATAATCAAAAAATTTGGAAAGGTTCCTTAATTAACAGAGATACATAATATATATATGATTTATGGTACAAATAGCTAAAGATAACCTTTTATTCTATTTATATTAATATAATTTTTTTTTCTTTCAGATTATATTTATTTACATGATAATAATATTCTCTTTATTTTAAAGTTGGAATAGAATTGATTCAGAAGGAGTTAGTGATTTAGGGATATCCATATAAAAGTGTAAAATGATTCATACTTTCGATATTAATTTAACGTAATTTGTATAATAAATAATCTAGAAGCTATTTTCATAATCTATTTATATGAATTAAATGATTTTTAAATTTTATTTTTAATTTTTTTATATTTAAGTTAAATTAATATAATTTATAAAATAATATTTTAGAAGTAATATTATCGATGTGAAAGGGATAAAGAGTTTTGCAAATTCAATACAATAGTCAACAAACATTTCTACCTTAATATGTAGTACGGGGTAATTGAAATAATAAATCCCATTAAATTATAAATTAATAATAAAAAACTTTACAATTTTAAATAAATAATAGTTAATTAATTTCATAAAATAACTATAATTTTTTATATTAAAGGGGAAATAAGTATGAATTAGATCAACCTACAAAATATTAAATCGAAAATTTAAAATAGCAAATTAATTTATGATTATCTGAAATGTTGGTATTTTTTTTTGTATTTTGGGTTTAGTTTACTTATTTTTTGTGTATTAATAAAACATTTTTTATTAAGATAGATATTCTATTAATAAATCATTATTCCTTACTATTAATTAGCCAATTTATTCAATTTATTGAAAATAAAATATTAAGTTAAACCATGAGCTTAAAAATCCCCCTTTTGTATATTCGGTTAGAATTGAAAAAGCAATTTAAGCTTTTTTTGAACATTATTTTACTTTGATTTTACATTAACTAGGAGAAATTTATACTCTTAATCATAGAAATTCTATACGCGAAATTTTTAATAATTTGAACAGTTAACAAATAAATATTTGGTAAAATAAAACTTCGATATATTGATATATTACTATATTTGCTTTTTTTGCATTTTAACATATCAAAAAATTGTCTTTTAAAAATAAAATGAATAGTATTTTTATTATTTTTAAAGAGTAGGTGATTTATGTAATAATGAAGTATAGATTATTGGTAGAGCAGGCAAAACTATAATGATATTATTTGTTTTTTAAAAGGTATAACCTTAAAAAATTCAAATTTGTAACTACAAATAATAAATTATTTCATAAAATAATTAATTATTGAATATTTTTTCTAATCATCAGTTATTCACTTTTAAAAATACTAAAACTGACAAAAAAAAGTTAAATTCTACCTACATGTTACATTAGGTTAATTGACATATAAGGAGAGTTCTTGCACTCTCCTAGATTAACTTTAACACTCTAAAATCCTTATAATAAATTAATAAAATAGATAATTCATAAATACCCATTCTACTTTCATTAGTTAAAAACACTATTTATAACTTATATTTATATAATTTATCATTAATTACCATCAAAATTTCAGAAACAATTTGAAAATTTTTATTTAAAACTCATTATCCTTCTAAAAGAAAGTTGAAGAAGTTTATTATTTAAAAAAAAAGATTACATTGGAGTTAATTAAAGTTTAAAAATAATATATTTTTTGAAAAATAAACTCTCACTAAATTTAATTTCTAAAAAGTAAACTCGGGTAGATACAGCCAGGCTATTACAGAGGGTAGACAAATGAAAACGCACATATAAAAATGCTATATTTTACATAATGAAAACTTTAAGGAGGGGTAAAAATATGTGGAGGGGGTGACCTTTAATTATTAAGGATTTACAGTAAATTATTTATTTTATTCCAACAAAAAAAATGATTTTTTCAAAATATTTGTAAAAATTATTTGATAAATTGAGATCTTAATTAGTCAGCAAAGTAGAAGATAATTTAAAAATTTATCAGAAATACATAAATTAAAAACAAAAATTTCTGATAAAAACTAATTAATAAAAAATTTAAAAACATCAAAAGCAAAAGCTATTTATTTATTTTTTAGTTTTAAAAAAATAATTATAATTTCAAGTGTGATTTTGTAATTTAGCTTAGTTGATTTTAACATCTTTCATAAATCTTATTTAAAATCAGATTTAAAATTTTTATTTAAATATTACCAATATTAACCTTTTTTGTTTTAGATAATAAACTTGGTCATATAATTTTTTTTTAAGAGTTAAAACAAAAAGAATAATGTGTAAGCTTATATTATTTTACAAAATAATTCACTTTTGGATTAAGGCAATAACTATAAGATAAACTTGAAATTTTAGTTATTTTTTAATTTAATTAATTTCCAAAAATAATTAATTGGTAGCAAAATTGTAAACAAATTTGATTTAGAAAATAAATAATTTTTTTTGCTTGCTTGTTTTTTAATTTAAAAAATTTTTTATTGGACAGGAGATTTTAAAATAAACACTTTTTATGTTTTGTTTGAAAATAGAATTTTTTTTTTTCCTAACTATTTAAATTTTAATTATTAAAAGTAACAAAGAAATACTTTTCCTTCATTATAAGTGAAATTTAATTTTGAATAAAATCCATTCGAGTAAGACAATTTTGATTATTATTTGAACAGAAAAATAATTATAAAAATAAATTTCAAAAGAATTTAAAATTAATTGCTCAAATAAATAGTTAAGAAATTTGTTTATTTTAATTTATTGATAGCCCATAAATTAAAGTCTAATTAATTATCTTAAACTTTGCATACATTTTATTTGTATTATTTTTATGAAATATATTTTGATTATCTATGGATTGAACATACTTTTAAATATTATTCAAAACATTTTAATTTACTTTTGTAATATTTCTTTTATTTTTCTTAAATTTTTTTCAAATTTTGAAAAATAAAATAATTAAGAATCTAATTTTTAAATATTTTGAAAATAAGAATAAGAAATGGAGATATTTTAATGTCTTTAAAAATAGAATGTTCTATTTTTAAGCTTTTTATTTGACAAATGAAATCCTATTATAAAGCATTTAAAATCTAAATCCTCTAATAAAAATATTTAAAAATATGAAGTCTTTGGATGATAGAAATCTAATTTAAAAAAACCATAAATTTTTATCATATTTTTTTATATAATAGATAAAAATGTGTATAATTAATTTGTTAATCATTTATTTTAAGTCATTTTTATTTTGTTAAAGTTTTCTTCTTTATCTGAAAAATTTTAATTAAACTTAGTCTTCTAAAAAATTTCTAATTAATTTAATTTATAATATTTGTATTCATAAGCAAATTTTTCCTAAAAGTTATTATGAAATGCTCATTTGCTTCTTTATTGTTAAATATTAGAATTATTTTTGAAAAATAATATCTAAATAATATATTTAAATTTATCTATTTTATAATTTGCTTGATTTATATTTCAACTCTTTTTATAAATAACAAAATTTATTGAAGAAGCAGCTAACTTCTTTAAAAATTGAAAAAAAGTAAATTTATAGTGAATTAAACATTAATATCTTAGACATCAATATTATTAATACTTTTAATAAATAATCTGTCCCATTTTAAATAACAAAATTATTAATTAAAGTTTTCCAACCCTAAATTTCAAAAGTGTTAATCCAATTGATAGTTTATGTTTTCAATCATAAATTTCATTTACCGGAATACCTCTAACCTCGAAATAGTCATTTTTTTGGAGTCAAGGTAAGAGGTTTTGTTTATTTTATTATACGTAAAATTTTACAAAAAATTTATTATCCCCCTGATATCAAGTTGCCAATATCTATTATATTACAATCGATATATACATATATTTAATCTGTTTATATTATTAAATTATTTTAAATTATGTTCATTTTTTTTAAAAGTTGTCTTTACCTGAAGATTTCTAATTAAAATTTGTCTTCTTAGAAATTTAATTTTCAATTTATTAAATTAATTAATAATATGTGTGTGTCTTTTCTTAAACAAACACAACTTTTTCTAAAGAATAAAACCTATTTAAGTTTATCTATGTTATAATTTTTCTTGATTTTATATTTCGAATCTATTTATAAATAACAAAATTAATATTAGAAGGAACTTCTTTCGAATTGAAAAAAAAAGTAAAATTATCTTTCTGTATTGAAAATTATTAATTTGATCCGTTTAATTAGAAATTAATTTGTTCTTATTTTAGATAAGAAAATGACAAATTAAAATTTTCTTACCCCATATTTTAAAAATCTTAATTCACTAAAAAATACATATTTTCCACCACAAATTTCATTTATAAGGAAGTATAAATTAAATCGGGCGCAAAAGAAAAGTAAAAAAGTTAATTTAAAAAAAAATAAGACCAAACCTATTTGAAAAAAATGAGAAGAAAATTAACTCTATTGATTGCTGCTTTAGCTGCTATTGGAACTGTAACAGCTTGCTAAGACCCTGCAGCAGTCGGATCAGGCTGTCTTTGCTAAGGTACTTATTATGGTACTTCAGTTGACGCAGTACCAGGATAGGGATGCAAAGCGTGTCCTAATGGTACGGCTTAAGGAGCTGCAGCAGCTGGTGCAACGACTCTTGCAGACTGTAACACTTGTCTTGATATTTCTCATGCTTCTTTCACTGGAACAACATCTGCCCCAGCTTGTACTTGCAAAGACCCTAACGCTATTGCCCTTCAAGGTCAAAATTGCAAGTGTAAGGCCAATACCTATGGAATGCCTAGTAGAACCACAACTACCGCATGTACTGCTTGTCCCAATGGTTCTGGTTCTGCCGCTGGAAGCACAGCTTAAACTGATTGCACTTTATGTGCTGACAGTACTCATGCCACTTTCACTGGAACTACAGCTGCCCCAGCTTGTACTTGCACTGACCCTAATGCTACTCTCGACGCAAGTGGAAATTGCCAATGCAAGGCCAATACCTATGGAATGCCTAGCACCACCTCAACTACCACATGTACTGCTTGTCCCAGTGGTTCTGGTTCTGCTCCTGGAAGCACAGCTTTAGCTAATTGCTCTTTATGTATTGATACTACTTATGCTACTTTCACTGGAACTGCAAGTTCCCCAGCTTGTTCTTGCACTGACCCTAATGCTTAAATTAGTGCTTCTACTTCAATGTACTAATGCAAAGCTGGTTACTATGGTACTCCAAGTACTACTCCCACTAGTGGTTGTAATAAATGCCCTCAAGGATAAACTACAGCTGCTGGATCTACCACAAATACTTGTGCTGTAGTACCATCAACTTAATCTTATATTTTAATGCCAATAGTTTCTTTGGTACTCTCTCTATTTATTGCTATTTGATACAAACTTATATGAATTAACTGCATTAAAATTCAATAAGATAAATAAACCATTTAATTTTTGTCTGTTAGTGTATAAATTTTTTGTTATGTACTAATGATTTGAAAATTGATAAGCTTTTTATTTTAATATTATTGTTTTTTTTTTCTCAAGTAAATAACTAGCCAAAACACTTTTTCTATCCTTAAAATATAGCGTTAAAATTGAAAATATAAAATACAGTAATTCCATAAATATATGTCAAGACTAACCTCACCCAAAAATAAATTCTTTGGAAAAATGGACTTAATTTAGAAAATTATAAAATAATGAAAATAAATATTTTACATATGGGAGAAATCAGGGATCAGCAAGAAGAAGCCATTATACTTGTTTTTTATTGATTTATGAATATATTATTTAATAAATAATCAAATTAATTGATTTTTTATATTTTTTTTCATCTAAATTTATGATAAGATCTTTAGATAATAATCATCATCATACTTTTAAAATTTACCAATAAACTCAGATTTAATAATATCAGTATCTAGTTATATTTTTTAAAAGTTAAGGTGCTTATGAAGTTATTTTCCTTATACAAAAGCCTTTTGTTTTACAAATTTTTGTAAACTAACCATGTGAGCATTATTAATTAATTTTAAGTTATTTGCTTGCTATTTTGCAAAAACAAACAATTAATCTTTTCGTGCTAATCTTCTTAAATTTTTGTCTTTAATCATAAATAAACTTCTAAACATAAATAATAATTCAATAATATTAAATAATAAATAATTAATTAAACAAATTAAATTATTTTGATAAGATCATGTTCTGATATATTCCTTGATTATTTAGCTACATATATTTTATTTATTTCAAACTTATATATTATTTATTTAAATGCTTAATTAATTATCTTTAAAATATTTAATAACTTATTTTTAAATTTAAAGATATATGTTTGTTTATCAAACTTATTTTTCTTTTTTTTATCAATAAATTTTAAATTTCTTACTTATATATCATCTTGAAATAATTATTATGATTTGATAAATATTTCAAAGCCATTATATTATTAATTTTATCTTAAATTTTATAGCTATTTTTCTTTAATTTTTTTTAAACGATTAGTTTCTATATTTAATATATTTAAAGAGAAAGATCATTTATATCTTCAAGTATTTGTTATTCTTAATTTTTAATTTCCATAAAAGTTTATAAAATATAATTTGTTTATTCAGTTATTAATATTTATGTGTCGTTTAATGTAATTTATATAAATAAATTTATATTTAAAATTTGAAATTTTATTTTTCTTCATTAAACCCAATTTTTTTAGAATAGAAAAATAATTTTGGTTAGTTATTTACATTAAAAAAACAATAATATTAAAAAGTTTATTTATCAATTTTCAAATCATTGGTACATAACAAATAATCTTTGCACTAACAGGCAAAAATTGAATGATTTATTTATCTTATTGAATTTGAATACAGTTAATTCACATAAATCTGTATCAAAGAGCAATAAAGAGAGAGAGTACCAAAAAACTATTGGCATTAAAATATAAGATGAATTTGATTATTCAGCACAAGTATTTGTGGTAGATCCAGCAGCTGTAGTTTATCCTTCAGGGAATTTATTACAACCACTAGTAGTGGTAGCACTTGGAGTACCATAGTAATTAGCTTTGCATTAGCACATTGTAGTAGAAGCACTGAGTTAAGCATTAAGATCATTGCAAGTACAAGCTGGGGCAGTTTAATTTCCAGTGAAAATAGCATAAGTAGTATCAAAACAGATAGAACAAGTATCAATTGAAGTGGGATAATTGGGAACCTTTGCTTAAGCAGTAAGTACCTGAAGGACACTTTTTAAATGCTAAATTGTAATTTTAATCAGATGAAATCCAATAATAACAACTTTAGCAAAAATAGGATGAACCTGAGCCTGATGCTGAGGGGACACCAGAGTCAGAGCAAGTAGCTGTTACAGTTCCAATAATAGCTATAACAGCAATCAATCATGTTAAATTTCTCATTTTTTACAAATAATTTTTGTTTATTTTTTTTTAGATTAATATTTATTTATATCTTTCTTCTACTCCCAATTATAAACTTGGTTATAAATGAAGTTTATGTGGAAAATATGTATTATTTAGTGGGTTAATATTTTTGAAATATGGGGTAGGAAAATTTTTAATTGTTATTTTCTTATTTAAAGTAGGAACAAATTAATTTATAATAATATTTAATAAAATTAACGTCTTTTAGATAAAGAAAGAAAATTTTACTTTTTTTAAATTTGAATGAAGTTCTTTCTAAAATAAATTTGTTATTTATAAATAACTTTGAAATATAAAATGAAGAAAACATATAAAATAGATAAATTTAAATGATTATATGAATGTAGATAGGATTTTTCAAAAAATAAATTCTAATTTATAAAAATAAAAAAGCAAACAAACATTTATTTCACAATCTTTAGAAAAATTATGTTTAAAAAAACAAATATAAAAAATTTTATAAACATATTATTTATATGAATATATGGATTATAATATAATAAATATTGGCAACATGACTTTGCCAGAGGGGTAATAAATTATTTTTATAATTTTACATTTAATAATTTACATATATACTATAATTCCTCAAAAAAATAGGGGTTGAGTCAGGTCTCTGACTATCTAATATATATTATAAAAAAAAATAAGAAGAAGAATAAAAAGCATAATTAAAATAAATTTAAAAATAATGTGATTGATTGATTAAATGTTAAATTTGTTATTTTCAAATTTATTTATTTACATAAATCTCTCTGGTTAAAAATAATTTGA